CATCCAACCGCCGTTGGCAGCAGAACCCTTGTACTGCTTGCAAACCTCACTGCACACAGGCAACTCAACTGTCGTGGTTGTCTGAGATCCCTCATCCTGACTGTGACACTCCTCACAGCCACTGCAGAAGTCCATCCCACAAAATCGACTCTTGAATCGATTGGATCGCATAAACCAATGACAAATGAACATGCATTGCCCTGATGCACTTGAGGTAGAGGACGTAGAGGGGAGCTCTGTGGTTGGAGGCACCGTTGGAGCCAGTGTGGTTGTCGCAGGTGTCGTGGTCGGGGTCACGGTGGTGGGCATCGTCAAGACTTGGGGGAAGTTCACTCCACTGACGTCTGCACCCTGCGCAGAGGCCCCCCATGCCTGGCCCTGCAGGTTGCGGTCCACAGCCAGAAATGCGCGTGAATTGGCCCAAACATCTGTGACACCTGTGAAGTCCAGCGTGCTGCAGCTGCCGCCATAGGCCTCCTGGCCCCAGCAATGGCCAACACCCGTGATGGAGTTGATGGCTGCGAAGACCGTGCTGCTGGAGTAGATCTCAAAGCCATCCAAGTTGCCGACCTCACAGTTGCCGCCATAGCCTTCCAAGCCCCAACACTGCGCCACTCCACTGCTGTCCAAGGCCAAGAAGGCATAGTCGTTGCTGTAAATCTGCTTCACTGAAGCCCAGTTCACAGCACTGCAGTTGCCACCCCGGGTGAGATCGCCCCAGCAATGTCCACTACCCGACTTCCAGGCCAGAAAAGCTGACTGAGTGGAGTAGATCTGCACATCTCCGGAGAAGTCGATGCCACTGCAGTCGCCACCACTGCCTCCCCAGCACTGGCCTAGTCCAGAGTTCTTGTTCAAAGCCACGAAGGCATTGCCATTGGTGTACACCTCCGTGATGCCCGTCAAGGTCACTGAGCTGCAATCGCCTCCATACGCACTGCTGCCCCAGCAGGTGATGGTCCCTGCCGTCCGGTCGAAGGCAACAAAGGCGCCGATGGAGGCAATGAGCTCTGTGACTTCTCCAAGGCTGCTGCCAGTGAAGGCGGAGGCCTCACAGTTGCCACCATAGGAGCTGGAACCCCAGCACTGCAAGGTTTGTGTGGAAGCACTGTAGGCCACATAGGCGTACTTGTTGCTGCTGATCTTCGTCACTTGGCTGAAGTCGATTGTGCCACAGGAGCCGCCATAGGAGCTATGGCCCCAGCAAGTGCCTCGTTTTCCGACTGCATCGAAGGCCAAGTAGCTCAAGTCAGTCGAGTGGAGCTCCGTCATGCCGGAAAGGCCCTGCGTGCTGCAGTCACCTGAGCGATCCAAACTGAGAAATGGAACTGGTGAGTTGGAAGTCAAAGACTCTTCCTAACTCAAGTGGCACAACGGGAAGTTCTTCCACCTTCACTGGGGCAAAGGTGGGCTCACGTCTAGTGATTGGACTTCTAAGTGTTTTTTTGGGATAGCGGTTTGGGTTCATGTCTGCCTATTTCCACTTAACCCTACAAATTTGGACATTCCCTCACCTCCATAGGCAGCGTAGCCCCAGCAGCTTCCACCGGTGCTAGTCAGCACGGCCATCGAACGAGAGTTGGCCTTCACCTGTCCAAAGAAACGACCCTCATAAACATTCAATCTCCGCTTGACATCCGCATTCATTCACTGATAACAATCTAGAACAAGTTTCCAATGATGCAGGTCGATGCACGTCGTTTAAAAGGCCGCTTCATCTGTGAATCGACATTTGCGGTGAATCACTACGTCACTACGTACTCTCAACATCTCTCAACTCCATTCCCACCTGAAGAACTCCAGCAAAGTCGACTGCGCTGCAATCCCCGCCATACTTCACATCACCCCAACACTCGGCAAGGCCAGTGGCATGGTTGACCATGGCAAAGGAGAAATCATTGGACACCACCTAACAGCGATGTTCAAAGCTAACTGGGAAATCTATTCGGAAAAAACGGAGGCATTTTACATTAACCATAACCTCTCAAGTTTCTTACATGGGAAGTTTTCGGCCGCTCACCTGAATCTCGCTGCCATGGGCTGCCAAGATCAAGGTAAAGATCAAGCAGCGTGCCATGTCGCTCGCACGTTCGGGCCACCCAGGACTTTCGATGCAAGGGCCAAGGGCCTTCTGAAGGGATCAATATTCAAAGCTTCGCATGTGAGGGAATTCCGAAACCTGCTAAGTCTCGAAGGTTCTTTGCACCAAAAGTCAAGGGCAATTTCACAGCACTCTGGCTGTTCTTTGGCCCGATCTGTCTATGTTGAGCTTTCTCCCAATGCTCGAGGCAAAATCATTCCATCAGTCACACTGAAACCAAAAAGTCGCTAACAGGAACTGAAGGATGGTCCCAAGTCAAGGAGTTTATATATATATATACAAACAACATCAAACAACCGTATACAACTCTCCAAAACGCACTACAGGTCCTATAGAATTCCTTTCAGAAACTACACGAAGGTAACACCTAATACCTACTAGCACTGGCATGAAAAAAGTGAGATGGCATTTGCTGCTGTTTCTGCTGTCAAGAGACAC